TATATATATATATATATATATATATATAGTACAGGTTTATTAGTTGAAATTAGAAGTTAATAATGCAACCCTATATGTGTTTATTAAGAACCAATCTGGTGTAGTGATTAAGTTACCAGACTAGAAGTCAGGAGACTGTGATAGACACATACACGCGGAGGGAGGGAGCATTTTCTGCAGGTACTAGCTTGAACTGGAATAGCTAATGGATTGATAACATTTTTGTAATAATAAACTTTGGCAGGATAAGAAAAAATGCAACTAAGTTTAATTCAGTTTCTGTGTGCTTTCTCGTAATGTTTGCCTTGAAAAAAATATCCATTATGACTTGTTAGAGGTTAAAGAGGCTGCGTGAGGTTTAAGCTATCAATTATGACTGAAATTCAGTGTTTGAATTATTATCTTTCCCATAAGAATAAGCACTGTTCCTTCAAAATTAAATATTGTAAGTGAAGAACATTATAGAGTTCCAGCTGGCCTCTCCTTCTTCCTCAAATCAGTGTACTTCTAACTAGATGGGAAATCTGTTTGCGTAGAACGCAGAAAGTGAAAAATAAGCCACATATGGTCATACTCATCCTGCCCTACAGAAATGTGGGAACATTCATTAAAAGAACATTCTTTGAACAGAAAATATTATTTCAAGTCAAGTCCAAGAAAAGAATGGATAACAAAATGAAGAAAAATAGCTATATGAACAATCAGAAAAATCATGCGAATCCAAGCATGGGAATTTTAATTTAGTTAGGGGCATCTATATGCAAGCCAGTACAGCAACCAAGCAAAAGATCCAATTCTGTGTATCTAGTTCTATTTTCTATCTTCCCAATTCAAGAGGGTTCAATTTGGGCTACAATGCAACCATAATTCCTTTATACTTTTTAGACTATCCTTTATACTTTTTCAGCTGCCTTATTGGTTCTTAAACTGATTCTGCCCGTTGTTGTTACAATTTTATTTCCCTCAGAAATTTTCCAATAACATCTATTAAAATCCAAAAATATATCAACAAAAGGGGTGACTGTAAATGAATGTAAATGACATGCCAAAGGAAAAGGGCGTATAAGCACTTCAGTACAACCCAAGTTGTCATTGTGTATAAATAAAGGTCCTTTCCCTTTGTGTCCTGTAATAGGGAAGAGCTGTATTATGCAAGATCCTAAAGCACAGGCATGTTGCATGTTAATGGAACAGCAGGCATGCAAATATTGAAAGCTTTCAATCATTTTTCCATCCACCTTGGGATGTGAACTCATAAGAGACTGCGACTATATGCAGACACCTGAGATAATACTCATTTAATCTAATTCAAACCAGAGTGAAAGAAACACACGTGAGGTTATCACACTTCACTGCATTTTTAAAGAAAATCTTCCCCCCAACCTCCCCCCCCCCTCAAATCTAAAGTAGATTAGAATTTTGGACTGCAAACACAGACTAAAATCTTATGATTAGTGTATGCTACTTTTAGTCTACCTGTTTACACTTTTCTTCCAAGTTTCCTTCACCAGGACCTGACGAGGCTGCTGCTGGTTTAGCTGGCATATCCTCACCTACCCAACTATGCATGGTCTGAGTTTAACAAATAAGAAATGGAATATTATTTATTAGAACCAAGCACAAGATTTTCACTGACTGTTGCAGAAACATTTATTATGTTTAGTTTCTTGCACACGTTGCGCTTATAAAGCAGAGATGCTTTTCCAACATGGAACTAATGTCACAAAAATGGAAGTGGATGGCCGTTACTAAGTTTTGTAACTTATTTTTCCCCCAACCTGTACTATAATATCTTCTACAATTTGTAGATGTAAATTTTACAATTTTGCTGTTACTCATATAGCATTCAATAGCTGTAACGTTATTTTTAGTTATTTATTTCCTTACTCAGCCTTTTTGAAAACAGATAAAGAAAACTTACAACCTGAGGTCAGCCAATTCTACCTCCAACACTGTACTAATGATACAGGTGCTACTGTATCTTAAGTTAGGGGTGTCAAACTCACAGCCCGGATGTGTCACATGCTGGCCATGCCCATCCTGCATTTAGTGAAGGGGAAAACAGTTGTGATACGTCATGTGACAACAATGTGATGACATAAGTTTGACACCCCTGGTCTAAGTGAACCATCATCTTTTTGCTACCACCTGCTTCTAAACAGAAATGTGCATATGGTTAAAGCCTGATGCAGTCAAATAAAAGCAAAGCTGCAAAGCAGCAAATTAGGAAGCCTTTCACTGCAATAGCACTAACAATGATGCATTGTACGCAAGAATATTTTTTGTCTCCTTACTGTTGAGCAACATTCAATCTATTTTTGTAAACTATACGCTGAGAAATTAAAAATGTTTTTTAAAATGACTTGTGAACAAAGATTAAAATTTTAAGTGATATTGGCATGTTAAAATACCAAAGATAATGTTTTAATTCTGGAGTGGTACTGGTGATGATAGTGTTTTAAAAGTGGGCTCTTAACAGTCATCAGCATTTGCTTACCTAACAATGAGGAAAACACCTAGCTGTGCGATTTAAAAAATGTTTGTATACTGTTTTTCTATGTAACAAGCAGTGGAAGATCTTTTGACAGAACCTCGTTTTGGAACCTGGAATAAAGGTTTAGAGAAAAGATCTTTTCCCTTGCTAACTAAGGTTTTCCATAGTCTCTATCAATATGGTGGAAAGGGACAGAATTAGCTTCTCTCCTGTTTTACTGTTTACAGTAAAGGCTTTCTCTGACTACTATCACTATCAGGAAAGAAACATTAGTTTAAGGATCCAATATATACAGTAGTGGTGGAAAATGTGCAGCTCATGGATCATACTTTTGCCCTCCAGCATTAGATGAATAATGATATATATATGTGTGTGTGTGTGTGTGTGTGTGTGTGTGTGTGTGTGTAAAATGCTTCTGCAAATTTCTATCATATTTTTACCATGAAAAAAAGAAACCATACAAATCCTTTTAAATGTGTCCTCTTGTTGATTGCTTTAGTTAATTCAAGTCTATCTCCAGATCTAAACTGTCTTTAAATCATAATATGACTGTTCAAGTAATATGGCTAAGAAGTAGCCTTATAAAATATATTCACAAGACATCTATATCAGCAATATTCACTGCAAGAATATTGTATGCATCCTTCTACATCATGGTTAGCATAAAGACAATTTGTAGAAAAGAAGAAATAAAAGAAGAGCAATTAAACTCCAATGTTAATTATTGTTCTTTCTTTTTGCACTAAACCCATTAGTCATATTGTTACATTGAAGAAGTATCAAACTTCTTACTGTCTATTTAATGATGCTTGGTTTCACGGTAAACAATTGTTAAAATTATGACTTTACTCTCAACAAATTCAATGCAGTAGCTCCCATTCCAAAATGGATATTCAGAATGCTATATAATTAATCCCCTACCATTTAATCATTATCTGCTGCTGCCCGTTGGCAAGATTCATTTCATTTCTACCTATTTTTCTGACCAGCTTCATCTTTCAATTTCAATGGGCTTCCTATGATCTGTCTTCTCCTCTTCAACATAACAAGCTTATATTTCCATGTACATAGTTTAACCTTACTCTAAAAATCTGTAGAGATTCTCAGTCATTCAGGCCATAGTTGTCGCAAAGGTACTTTTTCAGGAGGCAACTAGAGGGTCTTGTTTTTTCTTTGAAGACATTTTGCTTCTCATCCAAGAAGCTTCTTCAGCTCTGACAGGACAGTGGGGAATGGAAGGATTTATACTCCTTGCAGACAGTTGGTCATTTGCATCCTTTTAGAGCAGGGGTGTCAAATTCAATTTCATTGAGGGCTGTGATTGATCTTGGGGGGCCGGGCAGGTGTGGCCGACTGGGTGGGCATGACCTGCTTGACACCACTCCCCAAACTGCTGCCATGTTTCCTCTTCGCATTGGGTAGACTCGGCCAAAGCCATGCTGGCTCAGTGTTTCCTCTTCACATTGAGTAGACTGGCCTGATATTTCCTCTTTGCAATAGACCAAGGAAGCCAACCCCTTACATTTTCCAGGATGGCCCTCTGGGCCGGATCTGACCATATTGCAGGCAAGATGCAGCCCATGGGCCTTGTGTTTGACACCCCTATTTTAGAAGGTCATTGACTTACTGCAAAAAGTTTCCAAGGTGATGTTCTTTTTGACATGCATGTCAAAGATGGCACGTCATCGCATAGCTGGGAACTTCACGGACAACATTAACATGAATGTTGATGGCAAGAAAGCAAATTTGAAACTTGATACTGGTGTTATTAACTTTTCGTCATAGAGGAACTAGTAAGTAAGCTGAAAAGCTGACTGAGGAACTCACGGGTAACTGATTTCTCTACTTCTCACTGTGTATATGTATGTATGATTGTGGAAGATTTGCTCTGACGAGGTACATACTTTGCTTCACAGAGATTTATTGCACAGTCTCAGCACTGTGAATAACTTCACAGTCACTCAGTGCTCTACCTCAGAGTTGAGGCAGGTCAATTAACAGAAACTACTGTTACCAAACAAAATAATGGCACAAGTGCTTCACTGAATAGAAGTGGAATGGTGCAGTACTACATGTTTTTGTGAAAGTGCTTTGAGAATTCTTACCTTGTTATATTTTAAGAATAGGAAATGTTTTTCTTGGTCTCCAAAATGTTTCATTTATTTAAGCCATTAGTTGGAATTTGTGGCCAGCAAATCCTCTCCATCCTACTACTACACATCTGAAACCTTGCTCCCTACATGTTCTAGAAAAGTGCGTGGATGGGGAAGTACATAAAGATGCATGTGAATGCATACATGGGTAGACATGAAAGAAATTTCCTTTTTGTGTGTGCTTGAAATGCCCTCTCTTGAAAGAATGATATGCATTTCTACTTTCATGAGAGCATCTGCATACACACTTGGAATACATGCAAAATTTCAGAGATTAAAAGAATATCTTTCAATTGTGATTATGATAAAGGGAAGAGAAAGAGAAACAAGGTTTGCTTTGTCCAGGCTTTATTTTCAGCCAAAACATAATTTGGCTCCTGATTATTTTCCTGAACAAGGTTTTGCCCACAAAAGTTATCCATCTCTAATTTCATTTCAGAGAATGAATCTTCCCTGAGTTTCACTCAAATGCTTCCATCACTTGAAAGCCTCACTGCATTCTTTAGCATGCCCTTCCACACTATGTGAAAATTTACCCAATGCTCCCCCAAAAAGGGGAAAAGAAGACTAGACTACAGAGAGGGGAATCAATGTAAATTATTACACTAATGTAACTGAAATATTTGATTTCAAATGGCTTCTATCAAAGGAAGAAATATTTTCATCCAGCAAAAGCACATTTTGAATACAACTGAATGAATTTATCGATCTGATATAATCTTAATTTTTCAATGAGTTTATAAAAATTCCACCAATTATTGCCTCCCATTGCTTTGACTCACCTTTCTTACATCTGAGCTCTTTGGTTCTGTTGTCCAGGTAATAATCTTAGAAACAGCAAGTTTAGCCTCACTGGAGTTTACAAAATCTGTAGGATCCATTTGTCTAGCCAAGGATTCAATGTATTTTAATATTGCCACTTTTACCTGAAGTGAATAGAATACATTTTGTAAATAAAGATAACACAACAAATTTCAAAGAACAAAACCTTTTCTCAAGCCCAATCTTTTTATGAACCATTGCTTGCTGCAAAAGAGCCATCTCTAGACCTTCTGAAAACCCTTAAAATATAAGCAAGGAAAAATATATTAGCCCCCGTTAACTATATTTAAGCATTATGCTCGACTTTACTCTCAGACATAATCATTTCCCAATAGAATTGCAAGCACCTTAACCTACCTTAAGGTTTGGTGTTTGGGTCTGATCTACGATAAACCTCATCAAAATATTAAATTGTTGGTCAAATGGAAAAGAATCTCTACAATGAAAATGGAAAAGGAAAAAGAGAGCATAAGAACAAATTCCAAGATTTAAATACTAGTTTTTTCCTGACAGGAAAAATGAAATATATAACAGCTGCATGCCACAGTCTAAGAAATAGAAATAAACAAACACACTCCCAGTTTTCAGTTGACTTTCTGAATGATTTTGTATCTTCTTAAGCCACAAGGAGGACAGATAAAGGATCCAAGTCTTAGTAAACGGAAGCAATCCAAGAGTAGATATTCTGCTTTGAACTTGGTTTATGTCAAAGACTTTATTTTTATCTATTCTTAGTTAAGCCTAATTTTGATGTGGGATTTAAATGAGGAAATAAATTCTTCCAATTTCCCTCAGGACAGTTGTATCAGATGAGAGGCTAATGATTGTGGTTTAACAAATTCAATTTATGAGACACTAAATAATAGTTATTCTATCTGGAGATGATGAACATTGTAATCCATCGAATCTGCAGAGCACTAGGTTTGAGAAAGCTGGTGCATTTTGGAAAAAAAAACATGTCAGCAATTTATCCCCAAGTTACTTGGCAGATACACTACCTTGTTACATCCAGAGCTTTCTGCACTTTGGCCTGCACGGATCCCAGCAGGTCAGCACCCATCTTCTTCAGTAACTGTGTCAGAAGAACAAAGAGCCAGTCCTGCAAATCATCCTTGTGAATAATGATGAAGTCTACCAAAGTTTCAAGAAACATGCTGAAAACCTTTAAATTAAAAGAGATAACAGAGGAAAGCATGATTTACATCATGATTAACACAAAAATGATGAAAATCAAAGGCAAAAACCCCTGCATTAATAGGGATGATTTTGACATCCATGTTAATATTGTGAAGTACAAGGATGTACTGGATGATTCATATTAAATAGATAAAAGAGGTGAGATTAAGTGGTGGGAGTGAGGAGGAAGGAAAATACACTTACTCTCTGTTGTGAATTCCACCGCAAAACAGGCCATGCAACAAAACAAACCATTCATTAGTAAACTGATATTAAAAAAAAAATCAAAGCAAATTGCTTTAAGGCAGTTTCCCTTGCATTCAGATCAATTGCATTCACAGAAAGTTTAAGATAATTTATGAAAGAATATTTTTATAATAAGCAAGGTCAACTGTTAAGTTCTTGAGGCAATACATGTTTTTGAAATAATCTATTTTCTTACATTTCAAGGGAATGTTCTGCTCTAGATAATATCCTACTTGCATGACTTACTAATGAAATTTAAAAATATCACCACAGATAACTGCAAAGACTCAACAACTATTTAGCACAAAAATTGAAATATTATGATTATCATTTCAATTCAATCATTTATTTATAACCCAATCCCCAACATTTAGGGATTGTTCATAAAAGGTGCATATATTTTAAATTTTACCTTGCTGTGGGGGTCTGCAAACATACGTGTGAAGATTTCACATAACCTTTTCAACTCCACACGGCTAAACCCAAACAAAACCCCCCACAAAATATTGTAGAAATTAGAAGTGGGTAATATGTAACAACAAAAATTTACATACAAAATCCATCATTTATTTCCAAAGCAGCAAATTAGTATAGACAAGGAAACTCCATTCTAATCTCAACAGATGAGGAAACTTCAATATAAGGTCAAGAGACTATACTTTAGGTTTCTAATTTGTGATATAATATAAATCAGGCATGTCCAATCCGCAGCCCGCATCTCACACTGAACAGCTAGTAATGTGATTCCACAAGATCATAAACTTTTAACATTATTATTTGATTTATATATATTAACCATATTGTATATTTTATGTGCACTCCAAGACAATTCATCTTCACTCAATGCAGCCCAGGCAAGCCAAAAGGTTGGTTCCTCTATCTTTAAATATTTTGCTTTCTTGCCAAAATGTACTTTAATTAATGTAAAGAACTTAACTGCCTTGCAGTATGTTCTCCTTATATTATATATATCCATTTCTTTATTGAAAATAAAAATCTTATGTTCAATCTTTTTTCTAGAAACACACAACTAAAGGATTGTCCCCTTGAAGTCTTAAACAGAGAGTTCTAGAGAACTAAAATGTTCTCCTACTGATTTTGGGATAGTGCACCTCTGGTGTCCAACACACTCATATGGCATATATTCAACCGTGCTTAATGGCAATACAAAAGAACAAATGGACACAAAACAAGAAATTTCAGTTCTCTTGGACATTCTGTCTTGGACTTCAAATATACTTAACCTGAGCCAAAGAAATTATAAGTGGTAGTTCCATTAGGAATAATAGAACTGGAATTCATTGAACATTTTACATCATTTCTCATAAATCTCCTCAAACCTCTTAAACTGTTTACTTAAATGTCAAAGAGTCTTTAATCAACAATTCAGCTTTTTATAAACTGGGGGCCCACCAGGGAAGTTTGGACAGCGTCACATAATTCTCTATGCATACTGTTTCATATTTATAATCTACATATTTGTTGGGCTTTCTTTAGATTTTCATTTAGATATCCTGACTCTAGACACACATTTTGCTCTCTTGTTTATTTTTCATTACAGAGGGATGCTGATGACATCTCCAAAGGGAGAATGCAAAACGCTCAAAATATTTTTGCTTTCTCTGGTTTTTATTTTTATTTAGTTATTAGTTTTTTAATCCCACCTTGGAGTAACTCAAGGCCAAGAACTTATTTAATACTCCTCCCTCCTCAAATTTTTACCTGCAAGCAATAACCTTGTGAGGTGGGTTGGGCTGAACTGAGAGATGTGACTAGCCCAAAGTCAACCAGTCAGCTTTCATGCCTAAAGTGGGATAAGAACTCACAATCTCCTGGTTTTTAGGTCAGAACCTTACACCAAACACTACAGTAAAATAAGTATCTTTAGTAGCATGATGCCTGTATATCAACATCTATGTGTGATATGTTTCTGGAGTAAAAATAATAATAATGGTCATGTAAGGCTGCCAATATACATTGCTCAATTCTGTACAGGTAGTCTTCAAAATACGTCCACAACTGACCCCCTAAATTTAAATTGCTAAGTGAGAAATTTGTTAAGGGAGTTCTGCCCCATTTTATGACTTTTCTTGCCACATTTGTTAAGTGAACCACTGCAGTTGTTAATTTAGTAACATGACTGTTAAGTGAATCTGGTTTCCCCATTGATTGTGCTGATCAGAAGATTGCAGAATGTGATCACATGATTCTGGGATGCTCCAACCATTATAAATGTGAGTCAGTTGTCAAGCATGTGAATGTAAATCATGTCACCATGGTCATGCTGCAACGGTCGTGTGAAATATGGTTATAAATCTCTTTTTTCAATGCTCTTGTAACTTTGAATGGTCACTAAATGAAACTGTTGCAGATCAAGGACTATCTGTATTTAATAAAGAGGATAGAATTACAGTATTAAAAAGTATGTTCTAAGCCACTGTTCAACTTTTTCAAAATCTTGATTTATTCAAGGTAAAAAGATAAAAAGACTCGTAATTATATGAATAGCTTTGAATACTTACAGCACCTCTATCACTAAGTAGAAAACCTATTCAGCAATGATATTAATTCCAATTGTTCATCATAATTATAAGTTGAATTCAAAAATAACAATAATGGGTGATAGTAACAAAAACACAGTCCCATCATTAAAATACTGGTTATCTAAAATATACCTTATAACTAAGATTATTAAACAAAACATTGATAATTTAGAAGAAGCATATACACTTCATAATTTACAGAACACTTTTAAAGACTAGATAAAGAACAGGTACAAAATATACGAAGTTACTAATGTAATATGCACTCACCTTAATGTCCTCTGGCTCTTCAATAGGTTTTGCAAGCCAATTAATCCCTCTTTCCTTTCAGACCAGTTGGAACTAGCACAGTGGTTTAAAACCTCCGCTACATCTTCTGTCTGTCGCAGGTAGTGTGGGATGCCTCCATTGCGGGAACCATAGGACCGCTCTGAGCAAGCACTGGAGGCATCACTGTTTGCATCATCATCGGAATACATCCCATATGGTTCATACCTTCTTCTCACTGGTTTTTTCTGATCGGAGGGCGGGGGGGGATAAATATTGGATTTAGTAGTTTTGAATAATCTCACTAAAGTACAGGTACACCTTGCTCAATAACCATTCATTCAGTGACCAATTTGAATTATGACAAAAGGACTTACCCAAAGATGCAGCCATTGCCCCCGTAATGAAAATTTAAGTGCTTGGCAATCTGCCAACTCTAAGCAATAGCACTTAAGACTTACAGTGGGGCAAAAAAGTATTTAGTCAGCCACCAATTGTGCAAGTTCTCTTCTCCCACTTAAAAAGATGAGAGAGGCCTGTAATTGACATCATAGGTAGACCTCAACTATGAGAGACAAAATAAG